CTCATCCTTAATTTTATTTTTCTTTCATGTTCTTCTCCTTTCAGGTCCAATTAGTACAAAAATCCTCACCTGCCCGACCCTGCAAAGCTGGGGGCTGTGAGCACCGGGCTGGGCAGCCCCAGGGAGCCGGGATGTCATCGGGGACAGGGACACAGTGGGCTCACGAGGCCCTTTGGCTTCTCTGCTTTGGCAAGACCTTCCTCCCGTTACTCAGCTGTCACGACAGGACAGAAGTCCCACTGGCTGCTCAGCTTGGATTTCTGTCGAGGTTTCTGCAGAGTTGCCAAAATTACAGCAAGAGGCAGCTCCTTCCACGGCACTGAGAAAAATGGGATTCACACCCCTGAGGGCTAATCCTGCTCTTTTCCAGGAGCCCCTTCTCCCTGGAATCTGAACATATGAAGGCAGGAAAGCACACGTGACCTGCCCAGAGAGCTGCTCTGCCCTCACCGGGGGAGATCTGTGGGGAGAGACCTGCCAGGTCCCCAGGAGGAAGAAGACCTTGTGCCATGGCTCGGAATGAATTATTCCTTCATGGGAAGGAATAATTAAGCCCTTTGTTATCTAGTAATGGCTGGAAACCCTGAAGGTGACAACTGTGACCCAGACACCGGAGACAGAGAGGGGTTTTCCCCCCACCCCAGGGTTTTCTCCTCAGAGGGAAACAACACAGTAACTCCAACGATGTTTGTGCCGCTCCAAGTGACCCCCTGCTCAAGACCCCACACACCCACAGCATGGGGGGATCACCCCAGCAGAGCAGCCCCAGCCAAATCCTCGGCTGTGGGTACCCTGGCATTGTCCTGGCTGAATGCTGAGGCTGGAATTTTCTCAAGGAGCTAAAGATGCTCCCCCAGCAAGCCCAGTTTTCACAGGAAGGAATGTTGAGGACCTGACACCTCCAAAGCTCGAAGCCAACAGGTGCCATTTTGATGCCTTTTTTAACAATACAATCATCTTTATTTCCCCAGCATCAGTGGTTTGTTTTCCAAATACATTCAGATCAACATCCTTCTTTGTTTAAGAGATGATAAACAAACACGATGTGGGAGGCTCTCCCTCACATAAAACAGTAGGAGGGAACAAACCTTGGGGGCCATTAGGAATTGTAATGCCAGATTAATTTTAAATGGATTTCTATTCATTTACATTCACTCAGGCCTATGTAATCCATTAGCTTTGCATGCATCTAATGGTTCAACATCCTTGAAAATGAGCAATGGATCTTGGACCCCTGAGACCAGTGGGTGGATTGGGAGAGGAGACAGAGGGGCTGCTCATCCCATCCCAGGGAGCCTGCAGGGACCAAGTGGCAAAAAGAAGAGTGGAGATGGCCCCAAAAACAATGTCAGGAGTTGGGCAGCTCTGTCCCTGGGGTTTCCCCAGCTGGGATGGGATCCAGGGTCCTGGCAGGTCCCGGCTCCCGCAGCCAAACAAGGTCACACGTGCACAGGAGTGCAGCTGCCACACGGGCTGGCCTTGGGGAGGTCCCTGCAGTCTCTGCTGCCAGCAAGGCTCAGAGACTGCCACAAACCCTGTCAAAAACCCCCAAAGCACCAAAATAAACACTCTGTGCTCGCTCAGCACCTCCAACACCAGGCCGAGAGAGCGCAGCAAACCCCAGCGACGTCCTCCCACCCCAGCCTGCCTCGCCTGAAACAGCCTCACTCACTTCAGCCAGCAAACCCCAAGCAAATTCTGGAATTTTGGAAAGAAGGAGGTGCCATGTGACAGTTTTCTGATTAGAAAGACACAAATTAAAACCAGCAGAAGCCTCCAGCGTTGCCACCCCAGAGCATCATCTGCACCACGGTGCCAACGGCGAGAGGGACAATTACACAGCACCTGCAAACAGGATTATCTCAATGGGAACGGAGATGCACATCAAAAAACTACTTCCATGTCCCCCCAAAATTATGAGTGCCTTAAAAGGATGATAATAATGAGTTTTAGGGCATACACATGATCTTCCCCACTGCATAATCTGCCCATTTCAGAGCAATGTAGCACTAGCAGCTCTGTTAGAGAAGTAATTTAACCCTAATTTGATTGCTTCTCAGTAACAGTAGTTTCAGTGCTCTAATCAATAAGTCACAGGGTTTTACGACTGCCCTTGGTATATCAATCATTGCAATCGGTAATAAAATGCTTTTCATTTGAAGAACACCTGAAATACTGTGTAATTACCTTTGTATAAAATTACAGACTCCAATTTACCCATTTCACCTGCTGCAGCCAACAGCCTCGCTCGGCACCAAACATAATTTCCTTCCTAAAGGCTTTCTGAGCCGTCCTTCATCCCTTCCCATGTCACTGCAGCAGCAAGGTATTACTCACACCCCACAAAACAGCAGGTCACAAGAGACACCCATCTCCCAGGAATCCTTCAAGAAAGGGAGAGATCCAACCCTGGACCACGATGTCCCCAGGCAGCCACAAGGTACTAATGGGGAAACACGGCCAAGGGAAGGTTTCAAGGCCTCTGACTGGCACTAAGGTGTCCCTGCCTGGCAAAGGATGCTCTGGGCACACCAGACCATTGCAGGGCACGATGTGTCTCCCCTTCTGCCCCCTTAGCCTCCCCATTACCCCTTGGTCAAGCAGGTTCCTGCTGTCCTCACTGGAGCCATACAGCTCTGACACACTGACTGCAGGACTCTCCCAGCACTGGGATGCTCCAATCACAGACAAAACAGACATCTCAGAGACCCCTCAGCACAACACGCCCCCAAGCCAGAAGGAGCAGGGACACCTGGCACCAGACCCCCATGTCGGCACCCCAAAGCTGTGCTCAGGAAATGTTTCCAGGGAATTCTGGTTCGTGTCAGTTTTGGTTTTGTTTCAAGAAAAAAACACAAACCACTCTTATAAACACTGAAAATGACTTAGGGAAATATTTTCACTGGCAGATGTCAGGCCTCAGCAGTTCTTACAGGAATTATCCCCAGGATCCTGAGCAGAGGACACGCTCCCCCATCCCTGTGCAAAGCTGTAACAAAGAGGCTGCTGTGCTGCCGCCACTGCCATCAGACCCCGAGGTGCCCCGGGTGGAGCTGAAACAGGTCAGGGTGACGAGGTTTAAGTCCTTGGAGGGACGTTTAGTTACTCCTCTGCAAAATCCATAGCTCACCTGCCAGACCCCCAGGCAGGGGCCAAGAAGCGCCCCGGGCACTCACCCTGAAGTCGATTCCCACGGTGGAGATGAAGCTGCCGGCGAGGAACGCGCCGTCTTTGAACCGCACCAGCAGGCAGGTCTTGCCGACCCCGGAGTCGCCCACCAGCATCACCTGGGAGGGAGGGAGGGAGGAAGAGAGGGGGGTTAGACTCCAGGTTTTGGGAAGGAAGCCCCCTGCAGCCATTACCCAGCTCCATCCCAGGAGCAGGCAGCAGATCCCATATGCTTGAGAGGAACAAAGCACATCCAAGAGCGATGGACCCAGGGGAGGGTGGGGGGAAAAAGGGGGACTCACAGCAGAATTATTCCCCATCCTGCACCACGTGTGTCCCTGAGCACTGGCTCAACTTGAGACACCTTACCCCAAGCTGTACTTAACAAGTCCTTCATGGGGGCACAACCCCCCCCCGAAAACCAAGAGGTGCCAGCTGGGTGACACAAGCTGTAACCCGACAGCTGCAGGGCCCACAGGCTCCCCAACACACCCAAAAAACACCCCACCACTGTGGGGCTTTCTGGGATGTGGCACCACCCATGGGGAGACTTCAGAGAGTCCCCAGCCATAAGCACCAGCTCCAGGGGTGCATCAGCCCTCTGCAAGCAACTGCCTTCAGTGGGACCCACACATGCCCACAGCTGCCCTCCCAGTCCTCCACAGATGCCAAGGGAGCAGCTCCCAGTGCCCCTGCCTCAGTTTCCCCACCCAGCAGCTGCCCTGGGTGCAGACAGGGCAGGCAGCCCCCTGCCACAGAGACCACGGCAGAGCTGAGCCTGCTCCCAGATACAGCTCCCCAAAACCTCAGCCCAAACCAACAGCCCCCCTGCCCCCTGGGGCACCGAGCCCTCTCCCCTCAGTGGGATGACAACTTCCCACCACCGAGAAATCTGGGACCATGGAGCCAGGCTGCGTGAGCTCCTTCTGCACCTGCCACGGCAGGTTCCCTCTCTTCCAAGGTGCTCCCATCAGCCTTCCCAGAGCCATTAGGCTGTGACAGGATTTAAATGGTTTTAAGGCAGGGACTGCCCTGGGTCACACCGAACCCTCCCAGGAGCCATCCGAAGTGGCAAACGCCACCACGGCTCTGCAGCTCAGCCCTGAGAGGTGGCAGTAGCCCCGGGTGCAGGTGTAGCTCATTTTGGGGCAGGAGGGCTCTGCCGAGGAGGGCAGGATCCAGCCACAGTGCCCCAGCCCCCACGGTGCAGAGCCCCACACACCGAGCTCTGGCACGAGGGTTGAGGGCAGCCAGCGAACCACGGGTGTATTGGTGCAGAGCCAAGGGAAGGGGGGGAAGTCAATTTTAGTACAAAATATTGGGGTTCTTTAACTTTCCAGACCTCTCTCTGAAACAGGTGACCCTCAACAGCGGCTTCTCCCCACTCAGCACCACCAATGCCTCACCAGGCATGCAAAGCACCCGGGGCCAGGATGCAGCCCTGTACCCAGGACTTGCATTTGGCCACTGCCTCAGGCAGAGCTCAGGAGCCTCAGAAGAGGGGCAAGGGAAGGAGGAAGTTTAACAAACCAGGTTTTTACTGGATACAAAGCAATTTCTCTCTGCCACTGGTTCAAAGTCAGCCAGACCATTAGCAGAGGTTTTGGCTAACTGGGGCATTAGGGCTTCTCTGAGACCCATTTGGCTCATCCCTGTGCCATGGGCACAATTCCCAGGGAAAGCCACAGCCTGGGCAGGCAGAGGTGAGCTCCAGGAGCCAGGAACCAGCGCAAACACGGAGGTGGCTCCATTTTAGGGAAGCCGTTAAACCGTTACTGCAGCTGTATCAGGACCAACCGCCTACCAAAGCAACCAAACCCACTTCTGGAACACCCCTCACCTCCTACCCCGCATCCCAAACCTTAACACGATAGCCACACCAACTGCCACCGGCACCGAGCTCTCGACACCACACATCGCGGTAGGACCTGCCCCAGCAAAGCCCGTGTTCTCCCGGCTCAGTCCCCCACGCTCGGTTACAGAGATCCGCGTTAGAAACACAGCCAGAGCGTTTGCACTGAGTTGTAGCCTCAGCCAAAATCACTAAATGAGCCCCCATATCGCTAAGTGCGCCCTAAAATCATCTAGTGAGCTTCAGGCTGGGCTTGCATCAGGTCGTATGATGAAGTGGGGGGGACGCAAATTAATTTGTTCTGTGACTCTCTCGGCAGGATCTGAAGCAGAGAGAAGAAGCCATCTGAGCCCAGAAAGCTGGAGACATCTCAGCAGCAGCCAGAGCAGACTCGATGCCACTCAGGGGGTGCCATCACCCCGCTCACAGCCCCGTTTTTTGTAGGTTAAAGAGGAGCCGGGAGGCCACAGCAGCTCCCCAGAGCAGCCTCTGGCCATCACTTGCACAAGTCCCGCAGCAGCAGCCCCGCTGCCGGGGGGCTCTGCGAGCGCAGCCCCCGCTGATCCCCACCCTGCCGCCCCGGGAGCCCCCGGGGAGCCCCCGACCGGGTGGCTGCGGACGGACGGGATGCCGGGGCTGAGAGGGAGGGAAGCAGGGATGCAGGGATTCTGGGAAGCAGGGATGCCCGCCCGGTCCTGACCCCGGGAACTTCGGGGACGCTACAGCCGACCCCGCACCCGACTGACCCCGCGCTCCCGGACCCCTCCCCGCAGCACTCCCGGCCCCGCACCTTGAAGGCGAGGTCGTAGAACTCTCCGCTGCTGCTCAGCGAGGGCCGCCCGGCCGCCGCGCCGCCGTTGCGGGGCAGCTCGGGGGCGGTGGCGGAGCTCCCCCGGGGCGCGGCGGCGGCGGCCCGGCCGGTGCCCTGCGCCGGGGGCAGCGCGGCCGAGGGCGCGGCTCCGCCGCCTTTGCCGCGAGCCGCCTTCTTGCGCGACATCGCGGGCCGGGGCCGCGGCCGCGCCGGGCGAGGGGGCGCGGGAGCCGCCGCCGCCCGGCCCCGCCCCCTGCAGCCCTGCCGCCAATGGCAGCGCCGAGCGGCCGGCGAGGGGGCGTGGTCTGAGCGCCGGCCACGCCCCTGCCACGCCCCGCAGCGCCGGACCGGGGGGTCCCGGGGGGCCCCGGGGAGTCCCGGGGGGGCTGGGAAGGAACCGGGGGGCTGGTATTGGGGTGCGCGGGGTCTGCGGGAGCGAAGGGAGCCGCGAATAGGGGGGTCACACTCACCCATGGGGTGCCCGCACGCCGAGGACCAGCGCGGGGCCCCCCACGCCGCCCCCGCACGCTCCATCCCTGGCGCGGCTCCCCAGCGAGGTCTGGGGTCCGTCCCGTAGCGGGTCCCCCCCGCTCGGGTTTGCCACAGTGCGGGTGGGGGCCACGCGAGGCAGACACGGCCCCTCCGCTGCTCGCAGCATCCCTCGAGGAATGCGGTGTGAGGGAGTCGTGGAGCAAGGTCGAGGCCACCGCGGGGACACGGCGTGGGCTGCGGGGCATGGGGACGGGAGCCCAGGTTCCCCCCGGTCCGTCTCAGCAACTAGTTTCAACGAGCAACACTTGGCATCTCTCTCTGCTCACAAATGTCACCTGAGGCGCTGGCGGGTCTCTCGGCTGGAATAAACGTCTTCAGCTGTGTGACAGATTCCAGTAGCACGGCCTCGGCCTGGCTGGGAACGGGGACTTCAACAGCACGGCAGAGCAAAACTGGGAAATAAATCACTGTCGTGAGAAGCCAGGCAGGCAAACGGTGAGGATGGAATAGGTGACAACACTGGTACAGGGAGGTGACAGCGGGATCAGCATCCCAGCAAGCCCGGGGGCAGTGCCAGAGCTCAGGTGACAGCTGTGAGGGGTCGTTCTCAGTGTGGCCATGGATGAGACTTTTCCCTTTGGGAGCATTTAAAATCTATAGTTAATCCCTTTTCAAGGGCTCTGAAGCACCCCAGGGAATGAGCAGGGGCAGGCAGCAGGTTTCTCATGGATTTGGCTGTGGACAAGGGAGGTGGGCCAGGAGCTTGTATGCATGGCTCCTGAGTTTCGGGCATGGCCACGGCTGTCACAGGCTCCAGGGAATGCTGAGGAGCTCTGTGTCTGCAGCACTCCTCCAACACAGCTGAGGATGAAGGAAAAGCTGTCATGGTGCAGGTTCATCTTCCCACTTCCCTTCATGTGCTCTTAATCCCGACGATCTAGCTGGGAGATGGAAGACCTGCCTGGCAGAGCAGACTGGATGTCAGGGTTTTGCACTTTAATCTGATTTTCTGGGACAGCTGCAGTCAATAGAGGCTGAGGCCTCAGAGCAAAGTGCAATGCTGGAACTACGTATGGGGCTGCAGGTATTAACCAGCCCCTGTGCTGTGGCCATGGTGCAGCTTTTCCCAGTGGAACGTGCCCAGAGGAAAGGGGTACCCAGCCCTGGCACCTCTGTGTGCCTTCGGGGCACACCTTCACAGGCTGCCTTGCTGCTGCACAAGGATTTTCCCCTCTCCCATCCCCAGCTGATGATGATGGAAATCTCCATCAACAGCTCAGGAGCAAACAAAGCCAGCTGCTTATCGAGGCCGCATCAGGGCAACGCCGGAGGAGATGGCCCCTTATCAGCGGCAGCAGCCGGCAAGCGGGCCTGGAAAATTCTGCCTGTACCAAAGGTCGTGTGCTCCAGTGGCTGCAGCAGGGCTGATCCCCATGGCCCTTGGCCACCCAAAATCAGCTCTGGCGGCAGCAGAGCTCAGAGCACCACGGCCGCGGTGAGAGGCACCTCCTGCAAGTTTCTCTCCTGTAGGAAAGGCGTGTGCAGAGACACAGCCTGCTCAGAATCGCAGTCACGCCTGGAGATGTTGCTCCTCATATAGTTACAGGAACTAATCAGATAACGGCAGCTGAACTAAGGGGGATATATTTGCTAAAAATAGCTTAATGGAACAACAGACGCCTGGAGATACGGCGTGCCTGGGGGAAGCGGGGCTGGCAGGGCTCTGAGTGGGGCTGGCAGGGCTCTGAGTGGGGCTGGCAGGGCTCTGAGTGGGGCTGGCCGTGCCAGTGGCTGCCTGGTGCTCACAGCCATCTACATATTTGTAAATTTGTTTTTAGGGGTAGAAAATCAGCTCGTCCACATCATGTGGTCAAGCCAAGAGGGCAGTTGTGCTGCTGTATGGGGAGCTGTGAACGCAAGCACAGACAGGCAGCTGGTGCCACCATTGCCACCTGTACCAACGGCCATGGGGACAGCACCTGCCCTTGGCTCGGCCACCCCCGCTGGGGGACAGAGCACACAGGGCTGGAGACACAGCGAGCCCACCTGGGGCCGAGCACCATGCTCTGCCCAGCTGCTCTGCACAAACACTCTGCTTCGGGGGTTTAAATCTGGCTGTTTTCTTTGGCACGGAGCTCCGCAGGGTTCTGCGTGCCAGAAGTTCCGCGCCGTGCTCAGAGCCAAGTGAGATATTTCAGTGCGAGGCCATCTCTCCCTCCTCCTGCTGGTCCGGGTTGTTCCATCGCTGGCTCGTGCCTGCAGCTGCCCCCGCGCTCCCTCAGCTGCTCCATCCCCTGCTCCTGGTCAGGATGGAGCCATTCCTCTCCCGGCAGCCTGGGAGCCTGCCGAGCCTGCTCTCCTCCTGGTCCCAGCTCCTGGTGCCAGCTCGGATGGAGCAGACCCGTCTCTCCAGCAGGCAGGCTGCAATGACGAGCTATTCCCATCAGACACGATGTCAGCTGCGCCAGCTTGGAAGATATTCATCTTCCTTGCCTGGTGGCTGCAAGAAAGATGGTGCAGGCTCTTCCCATGTGCTCCTCGTTGTGCCTCTGCTGTCACCTACTGCAATGACACCAGCCAAGGGTCAGGGGGCTTCTCTGCCCCCCTGTGCTGGGCACTGGTGAGGCTTAATCTTGAATTCTGGGGTCAGTTCTGGGCCCCTCACAAAAAGAAAGATATTGAGGGGTGGTAGCGTGTCCGGAGAAGGGAGCTGGGAAGGGGCTGGAGCAGCAGGAGCAGCTGAGGGAGCTGGGGGGGCTCAGCCTGGAGAAAAGGAGACTCAGGGGGGACCTTCTGGCTCTGCAACTCCCTGACAGGAGGGAGGAGCCGGTGGAGGTTGGGCTCTGCTCCCAGGGAACAAGGGACAGGAGGAGAGGGAACGGCCTCAAGTTGTGCCAGGGGAGGTTGAGGTTGGATGTTGGGAAAATTCCTTCACAGAAAGGACTGTCCAGCCCTGGCACAGCTGCCCAGGGCAGGGGTGGAGTCCCCAACCCTGGAGGGATTTAAAAGCCCTGTGGATGTGGCACTTGGGGACATGGCTGGCTTTGGCAGTGCTGGGGGAATGGTCGGACTCGATGATCTTAGAGGGCTTTTCCAACCTGAACAATTCTGTTACTCCCCTAATCACATGTAACTGCCAGCTCTTCCCACTCTGTGCAGCTCCAGGTCCTTTGCCAAGGGCACACACAGCTCTGGCTCCAGAGTGGCTGAAGAGGAAGGGCCTGAGGGCAGTGGTCATCACCTGGATGGGAGGTGCAGGAGGGCAGCTGGGGACAAAGGTGACACCAAGCTCACAGGGCTGACTCAAGAATACAGAGAGCTTGATTTCATGTTGCAGATGAGCGGACACCCATTGGAGATGTCAGACAGAGGGGACAGCTCTGCTGCAGCCAGCAGTGCCCCACGGAGCAGAGCCAGGGAGGCAGGGAAGAGTGCACAGGGCACGGGCTGGAGTTGGACCCCAGCACCCTGCCAGGCGCAGCGGGCAACAGCTCTGCCACCTTGGGAAGCGCCCAGCCCACGCAGCGCTGAGCAGGCACCGTTCCCTCCCTCACCAGTTATTGTTCTTCCCTCCCCATCGCTCACTTACCTCCCAACACTTCAATCCCATCGCCTTTGTCAGTGTCGCTGGCTTTTAATTGAAATTCCTCAGACATCTCCTCATCAGCACAGCCCATCAACTAGTTTTGTGTGGGAAGTCATTGTTTTCTCTCTGCAGCTGGGAAAGTTAAATTCCAGCGTTTTGCTGGGAGACTGCTTTTGTCTCTTCCCTTTCTTACATTGCCAAGCCCGATCTTACATTGCAACCTCCTTCCTTTGTCTGGATATTTCATTTTCCATCTCTCTTCCACACAGTCCCTCTGGTTCCATCTCAGGCTCCTCCACTTCCCTGGTCCATCCTTAGTGGGAGCTCCCACTTGCAGCTCCCTCCAGCCTCTCATTGCCAATGTTTTCCTGCAAAGCACCCCAGAGGTTTGGAGAGCCCAGCCTGTTACTAAGTCTTTGTTTCTTGGTGTTCCAATCCATAATAGCTCCACACGAGGGTTTGGACACCAGGGAGCTGGGCAGATACTGAGGTGTCAGCACGTGCAGCCCAGGGGCAGAGCTTGAGCACTCCTTCCCCCACCAAACTGCCCCCATTAGCCCATTCTTCAAAGGGTAAAGCCAAG